AGATAGATAGATAGATAGATAGATAGATAGATAGATAGATAGATAGACAGACAGATAGATAGATAGATAGATAGGCAGGCTGGGATTCAAAAATCCCAGCAACCAGTTCGCTGCCCAGTTGCTGGGTGGGTCTGGCCATGGTGGGCGTGGCCTACCAGAACTTTCGGTGGCTTCCGAGTGGACTTTTTAGTGGACTTTTGAGTGGACTTTCTGGAGGCTTCCCTTGGGTTTCTCGGAGGGCGAAAACAGCCTCCCCCGGGCTCTGGAGGCCCTCCGGAAGCCGGAAACAGGTCTGTTTTGGTACTTCTGGTACTTCCGGAACGCCCATTTTCCCCCCTCCCAAGATCTCCACACAGACCCTGTACTAACCTGCATCGAAAATGGGCTCGTGGAGACTCCTGGGAGGGGAGGGTGGGCAGGGCTAGCCAGTCAGTTCAGATACCAGTTCAGCGACTCAGATGCAAATTTGACATCCGGTTCACTCGAACTGGTCCGAACCGGTAGAACACCACCCCTAGATGGATGGATGGATGGATGGATGGATGGATGGATGGATGGATGGATGGATGGATAGATAGATAGATAGATAGATAGATAGATAGATAGATAGATAGATAGATAGATAGATAGATATAGATAGCCTATGTATGTATGTATATATGGATACTTAGCTGGTAAGATGACAGAGTGAGGCATAATAGATTGCTGATAGATAGAGATAGATAGATAGAGATAGATAAAGATAGACAGATAGACAGACAGATAGATAATATGTATGTATGAATACCTATAGATGGGTGGGTGGGTGGATAGATAGTTGGTAAGATGATAGAGAGATAACAGATAGCTGATATAATGAGATAGATAGATAGATAGATAGATAACCTATGGATGAATGGATACAGATGGATAGTTAGTTGGTAAGATGACAGTAAGATATAATAGATTGCTGATAGAGAGAGAGAGATAACCTATGGATGGATAGATGGATACCTATGGATTGATGGGTGGATGGATGGATATAGTTGGTAAGATGATAGAGAGAGAGATAATAGATAGCTGATTAGATAGATAGATAGATAGATAGATAGATAGATAGATAGATAGATAGATAGATAGATAGATAGATAGATATGTATACCACCAAGCCATATGTATACATATGTATGGATGTATGGATGCATGGGTGGATGGATGGATAGATAGTTGGTAAGATGACAGAGTGAGAGATAAT